GGGGGGGGGGGGGGGGGGGGGGGGGGGGGGGGGGGGGGGGGGGGGGGGGGGGGGGGGTATTTTTTTTTAGTCAACGTCTTCGTTTTTTCGTACCATCGCCGTGGAGGGTACGTTCGCCTCCGCAAAGACGTGTGGGGTTGGTTGGCGACAACAGTCGAGAGGATGCCTTGCGGCAACAAAGGAGTATCAAGGGTAACATGGTTGACAAACACCGAGACCGTTGTGGTTCACGGGCAAATTTCTGCGCCTCCAACCTGCGTACATGCATGTCGTTTGGTGTTTGCCTGTTTGCAAGACTTGTTCTTGCAACCCAATACTACATTGGGTGTTGGCGGTAACTCTGAGGCCCGCTTTGTGGTCTGTATTAAATTGGTTGTGCAGGGTTATTGTTATACAATGATCTCGGTTTGCAGCACGCCAGACGAATCCGCGATGGTCGAAAACAATTCCTTTTGGTATCTAACATACAATGTAAGTTTCGTCGCGTGGGTGAAACATTGCTCCAGGTTGCAAACCTGAAGGGGACGCACACACTCCCACTGAGAATTGGGGTCTTGTCGAGTCCCATCGCCAGCACATTCCTGCGCTTGGAGTGAGCATGCGCGGCGACGATGTAAATTGGATGGATCCATTCCATGCCACCCAGTCGTTCGTCGAGCCTGTGGATGGATCGCCGACATTGCGCAGAACCGGTAGTCGGCGGTGCACATCGCTTGTACGTTGATGCCGTACACGGACTTGCTGCCGGAGTAGTACGCGATGACGTTGGCGGTCTCTTTCGCACACAGAGCCTTGGCCTTGATAAACAGACCATCCACGGCGGCGACGACCCACGAGAAAACGCCATCGGTGCTCTTTTCCTGCATTTGTAGACGGCAGACACGACGGCGGGAAAGTAGTACCGGGAGATACGAAATAGGAAGTCGAGAGATACGTTGTGTGGGTTGGTGTCATCGGCGACGGCGCCATCACTAGCAAAGAACGGTGCGCATACCGTGTAACTGAGACTTGATGTTTGCTAATCCTACTGTCGCGTCAGGTACAGCGGTAAAAACGTACCAGGACATCTTCGAGCCACGGAGGGGACTACAGTACATTGATTCTACACTCTTGTCTCGCTGAGAGCTGTTGCGGGGCCGAACCAACATGGCCAGTATACACAATTGATGGCAGTATCGTAACATCTATTTGAAAAAGGACGCCAAAAGCTGGCGAACCACCTGGGACCCGGGGGGTGTTTTTCGATTCGAAGCATGCTGACAACGACAACAACCCGAAGTTGTACCCGCATTTTACGGACGGGGGCAGCGTATCACAGATAGGCCTCACTACACTAATAGAACGGCTGGAAATGCCAGTCGTACAAAAAAAAAAAGAACAATATCGCGCGGTTGGTCGAAAGAATGCCGCCAAGAATAACCCTCACAGCACCAGTACTGACCACCGCTAGGCCTCACCTTGAATCTGTTGGCGTTTCGCATGCAGCCTTCCTCGGTCAGGGGGGGGTCACATGCCCCAACCGCAGGCGTGTTGTTGATGGCATCGATCACCTCCCACAAGATCTGGTACGTGACCGGCACCGACAAGCCAAACATGAGGGTGACATCCCAGTAACTGGCGCCAGCCAGGATCCTCAACGCCACGGCAACGCGAACTTCCACAGCTATGGCGCCGTTGCGTGGCGATCGCAGTGCTGTGGGGCTTCCGAGCGACGCGCAGATAATTTTTGCAGGTCACACGAGTGTCAGAGGGGGCATGTTTGCAATCGCCAGCACCCAATTGGCAACCTATGACGGGAGACGCATGTTCTCGACAAACTCGTCAGATTGTCGGCCCAGTCCACCTCCCGACTACGGTACTGAGACGGCTCTGTGTCAATCACCTACACACACACGATATCTTGCACATTAGGAGAAGTGTCGAATGTTGTTGTGTCATTGCGGGGGATACGACATTCTGCATTGGCTCCCGACGAGGCATGTGTTTTGTTTTTGTGGTGCCGGCGTGTATTGTGATTATTTATTTTTTCTGCTGTAGTCAGCGTCGCAGACAGTACTTCAGCGTTGGTCTCATACAACAACTGCTGCTGTAATATGCATACTACAGCAGTACTGCTGTAGATAAGCTGCGGCACTGCTGTATGTTCCTGCGTGTTGCTGCTACTTCGACGAGCGNTGCCCTCCCACGGGGGTACGGTGCCACCGTAGGGCGGTGGCGCATATAAGCTCATATGCGCCACCGCCCGTTTCTCAACGCGCAGAGCTTCAATTGGCACAAACTGACTCGTGTTGTGTAGCTATGATCCACAGCAATCATGCAAGCCATCGGGAACGTGCATCCGACCAGTAGGTGCCGAAATATGCCCTCCCACGGGGGTACTTAAGCTTATATGCGCCACCCCCCTACGGTGGCACTGTACCCCCGTGGGAGGGCATATCTCGGCATCTACTGGTCGGATGGACGTCCCAGATGGCTTGAACGATGGCTATGGACGTCCGTCGACCAGCGCAATTTGTTTGACGTCGATTGGAGCTTTGGCCACGGAGTTACGGTGGAATATATGGTTGGTGCCCGCCTTTTGATGCCGCTGAGCCCCCTTTTTCGAGCATAACTTTCCAACGACCGAATGGATTTTGCTTCAACTTGGTTTGTATGATTGCTATGGGTCATAGCTACACCACAATTTTTAGTTTGTGCCAATTGAAGCTCTGTGGGCGGAGATAAGAGCGGTGGCGCATATAAGAAATTGCGCCACCGGTGGCGTAAATAGACAAACCCTTTTGAAAATGACAGCAGGAACATGCAGCAATATCGTTTCTCCCTTGGTTTTGAGTTGCTTGTCCCCGATTCTACATATGTAAACACCAGAGGGGCTGCATCTGCACATGAACACTCACCGCCGAAGAAGGCGTTGACTTCCAGCGAAGGGCGGAGTAGCTCGACGAGCTTGTGGAAACTGCCTTTCTCCATGCGGTACGACCACCGCCAGCCGTGCCGTTGATCGAGGTCCGCCTCGTGTTGGGCCCACGGAAGTCACTTGGGCTCGTGATGGGCTGCCGTTCCTGAGGGCAGTGGGCACGATGAGCTTCTCCTGCTGCCACGACGCCCGCCGCCACTACTACGGCCCTCAGAAGACCCAGGACCGCGAATCTCTTGTCTTCCTGGGATGCATTCTCCTCGTCGACTCGACAGCTCGTCGACGGCGCTTCTCCCGGCGTTGCGCTGCGGGGTCCTTGGGATCCTGGCGCTTCCCGCGCTTAGCCATGGTGGTCGACTTGCCGTGGGAGGCACTTTGGGNACTACGGCCCTCAGAAGACCCAGGACCGCGAATCTCTTGTCTTCCTGGGATGCATTCTCCTCGTCGACTCGACAGCTCGTCGACGGCGCTTCTCCCGGCGTTGCGCTGCGGGGTCCTTGGGATCCTGGCGCTTCCCGCGCTTAGCCATGGTGGTCGACTTGCCGTGGGAGGCACTTTGGGGTGTTGTGGGTGTTGTCTAGGTGTGGTGTGATGAAGGCAGCACGCGTGACCGGTGTCTGCATCGGCTGCCCGGAAGAAGCGGGGCATTTTTCCCCGGAACCGTGAAAGGAGCAAGCCCCAAAAAATCCCGGCTCTCTGGTTTCACGTTTTCGGGGGAAAAGGCCCCCATACAAATGTAGTCGTATTCTATATGTATTCAAGAAAAACGGTTCAGTGAAATGTGCCGACGAGAACGTGCAAAGATGTCACCATGCACAACATACTACTGCTGCCGTTCACCTGTCGCCGTCCTTCCACGTCTACCTGTCCATGACACATGCTGCCACTTGATGCGGCAACATCTGGGAACAGCACGGACACAGGGAGTATCCCCGTACCCTTACGCACAACCTCTCATTCCTCCCTTGTCGAACACAAATGATGCAACATGCATGAAATGATGAACTCTGTCTATACTTACAAGTATGGTCCACGCTGCCTACAAATGGGAGAGGTAGCCATACCTCCTGCCTACACACGGACGAGAGAGGTGAACACACCCACTGCATTTAACACACACCCACATGTCGGTTATGAAACCTCATCAACCACACGCCTCTATCGGCGACCACGTCATCAGGAGGCAATGATGAGAAATGTTCTCCCGTGCCCTTCTCACATTTAACGACATGAAATTCCACAACATAGCATATATGAGACACACAAGACAGCTACCAAACTGATCTTTTGAGCCTGTCAACCGAGAGTTGTCCCTATATGCTGACTAGGAAATCGTAGACATACAGGTAGTTTTCTCTGACCCTATGATTCCATTGTTAATCTGTCTCTTGACTCTTTTCTATAATAGAGATGGCACATCAGCCGCACATACTCCGCACATACGCATACAAAACTGAGAATATGTTTGTAAACTGATGGAGATTGCATGTCCTACAACGAACAGGGTGCGACACACAAAACGCCCGACTACCCAACAGTACCCAACACCTTTCGTCTGCACCTTCCCAACATAACATATATGAGACACACAAGACAGCTACCAAACTGATTTGTTGAGCCTGTTACCCACAGGGAAGATGTCCCTATATGCTGCCTGGGAAATCGTAGACACACAGGTAGTTTTCTCTGACGCTATGATTCCATTGTTAATCTGTCTCTGACTCTTTTCAATGATAGAGATGGACTCGTTGTGTCATATTAAGAAAAAAATAATATAAAAAAAAAGAACCGGGATTTTTTGGGGCTTGCCACTTCCACGGATCCGTATTTTTGACAGCTGTAGTAGTAGCATCAGACAAGCGCACCGCGGGCGCTGTAACATCATTGAGAACGCTAGAAATACCTGCCAGACTCACATCCAGGTCTCTTGTGGAGAATGACAAGCGGCAGAAGCGGCGTTCAGTACGTTCTTGGTCCAAAACTAGACATCGTGTCGTGCTCTCGGCTTCAACTGCTGCTGTTGGTGCTGGGGAATTGTTTTCACACATAGCAAACACGGAAACAGTAGAACGACATGACCTCCCACGCGCTGATTCCTTCGGTTCGGATGTCTACATGATACCATCTCGCGGCACCGTGTTGCTTCGTGGGTATTGGGTGCTTGTGTGCTGCTCAATAAGGTGTGTGAGAGGCGTGCGCGACCTCACCAAAATGCTGTTGGAAAAAATGCGGCGAGATGATCTGTTTTTGGTCGGACACGTCAACATCAACCCATGGCACCACGCAGCAGAAGAGCAACAGGGCCTCCGACACGCTAATCCTTTAGGATTGGTCATTTATATGATGCTGGCCGTCAGCGCGGCTGCCGCCCTATGATTGTTGAGCTCGTCTGCCTTTGGGCAGTTGGTGGTCAAAGGTGGGAGTCGCAACCGTGAACAAGGGAAATCGAAAGCAACACCCAGGTTGCGACAATCTGCCCTGCGCCTGTTGTTGCTGAAAACTAAAAACAGCAGACCGAGTGGATAGGATCATTCTAAGTGTGTTGTCCTCCGTGTCGGGTGCTGCTCATTGCGCTTTCACCGATGCTCCATTGTGACCAACACCAAGTCAACCTGTTTTGTGCCGAGTAAAAAGCGTGTATCCAGGGAAGGAAACGTACCTTTTGCGATGACGTCACGAAGCGAAAAAAGTCGGGTTTTCTCTTCATTGTTGGGTGAGAAATTGCACGACTTTTCCGAAGGGTGCATAACGAGAAACGAATGCTTTACGTTTCGATTTGGATGGAATCTTACGTGATCAGCCTGCTTGCTCTGGTTGCGCCATACGCATGGCGAGCACTAGCGTCCGCTGGCTAGGGTGTAAGTTTCCACGTGAACTTGTTCCCTGGGCGCGTGCATCACATACGTCTTTACATCCATTGGCTACAGCATTTCTCAACAGATGTGATGGTGCCTGCACAGCAGCATTTCACAATACAGCAGTGCTCGCATTTGCTGTCGCGCACAGACAGCGTCATTGAGTTTTAATAGAGAGTCGTCGACCATCACATGCGACCTGCTACTTTTTTGTCCCGGTGCTTATTCAGCCGCTTGGCGGTTGTTGTCCTTGTAGCAACAGCAAGAGCAAGCACGTTGCCTCGTTCGAGCTGTACTAACAATAAGGCGGACAAAAAAAACTGGAAACACGTGATGGTGCACAGCAGTTGGTTCAAGTTAACTCGTGACACCCGGTGCACTTCGGCGTCTGCTCGAAAGAGCCTTTGTATTTGGAAAAGGCTTACCAAGAAAGATGAGCTTGGTGGCTCGCGGCTGGCGTTGGGGCGAGTTGTGGCGAGCACCTGCTTGCGGGCTTCCTTGCGGGGTAGACTATAGTGTAAAGGTGAATGTCGACGGCTGATTGCGTGCGCCGGGCCCTGTGCGCTGGGGGGGGACGCCGTACATGATCAGAACAAAAGCCAAGTCTTCAGTTGGTTTCAATACGGCGTCGTATGTGCCGGGTTTTGAGACCACGGGGTCGACATATTTTGTGGAATACAGAGCTATTATTACGGTTGTTGTTGTTGTTGTTGTTGTTGTTGTTGTTGTTGTTGTTGTTGTT